CTGGTGGTGTGGCCCAGATATTTCTAATTATTCTACCTGAAAGCAATTCGCCTTGCAGAAAGATCAGAAAAAGCATATACTGGAGAGATTCAGTTACCAAGTGCAGGCTCCTGCTGAGCCAGTACTCTTTAATTTGGAAATATCAGAAAAGATGTGACTCCAACATGAATCCGTGTCTTTAAAATACTAAAATGAGCAAGAAATCACCCTTTAAGTGTTCAAGGCTTTTTAATGATGATGAAGGTCGAAGATAAACTGCAGACTTGTGGAAGTGAGGAGGTGTCAGAGACTAATGCAATTCTTTTTTCAACTGCAGAGAGTGGACTGAAGGTTAGAGCAGGAGAATGGGGGAGAATGCAGACGGGCTATCCGATGCTGCAAGGAATAGGAGAGCCCGCAGTCAGTAGTAACACACCGCACATTCCCAAGCATTGCTTTGTCATTTTATCAGATCCCAGATAGCACAAGAATGATCCTTGTACAGCAATTAGAAGGAATGCAAAAAAGGGAAAGGTGGCTTAAGAGAAAGGGGCTTTGTGACGTGATGGTGCTAGGACGAACAACTTCTCTTTGATTACCAGCTCCAGCTGGGAGAGTGGGAGAAAAGAGGGAAGCAGGTGGCTCCTGAGAGGGTCCACCTGGAAGAAGGCTATAGAAGGGCAGCTGTTCTGCATTGCAGGTCCTGGCGTAAAGGGAGGACAGAAAGTAAAAGGCTGAGGATGGCTACTTTGTTTGTTTGTTTTTAAATGTAGGGATGATTGCTTGCTTTTGTTTGTTTGTTTGTTTGTTTTGAGCTAATAATTGCTCCCAGAAAAGAAAGTGTAGTTGTGGAGGGTACTGGAAAAGTCCTGGTCACTGCATTGGGCTCTTCTTGCGTGAGTAAATACTGCGCTAGCTCATACTAGAAAAACAACAAAGGAAATACCTTAGCAAGTTCTTACTGCCTGTTTGTGCCCAGTTAGAGAACTTTAAGGATAAAAGTTCTATATTCTTTCTGTTTGGAACAACCCAGACCCCAGACACAACAAAAATGGGTATTTCTAGTTGTTTTTGCTAAATCGGTGGCGTCAATGGGCTTGGGCTTGCGTGGCCAGGAACCAGCATAATTTGCATGTACATGAATTCAGTAATGCTGCACGGTAACTGAGGAGTTCCTGATATTTATTTATTTTTTTTTGCCTTCTAAAATCAAGCAGAGAGATAATATATTGGCAGGAGGGAAAGGGAGGAATTCATTTGCAGGGGCTCGCTAGTCTCAAGATAGATCTTTGCAAAGCTTGGGAAAATAGCTTTCTGTGGCTCTGCTGAGTTCCTGTTTAATTACTTAGCTAGATATGACCTTGCACAACTTCTATAATACAAGGGACTAGGAGATCTTTTGTGGTAAACAGAGCCCATAATAACTCTGTTCTCTAATCTCTGTTTCTCTAGTGATGCCACCCTTTATAAAACTATATATATCCTTGAAGCACCTAATTGAGGAAAGGCTTTGTGAGGGGATAAAAACATTTGAGTTGCAGGAAGTAATTACACCGGAACAGTGTTACTTGTCTTTTTATTGCTATGTACGAGTACTGTTATCGGAAAACTCATATCTAGTCATGTGTTCTTTGGGCTGGCAGTTATTATACAGCTGGCTACTGGCAGGAAATGCCAAAGAGCTTGAACAGAGAGATGTTATTTAGTTGTAATTTTAACACAGTTTGGGAAGTGCACTGTTGTTTGCAGTTTTCTTGCATACACCTGGGAATGTGGAATGTATAAAAGCATTCCCAAAGCAACACAGGCGTGTGTGGCACCTCAGAAGAGCCTATGAGAGTCCCATATGACTGCACAAGGTGAATCTATGATAGTTGTAGTGACAAGTCCTAAGTAAAAAAGGAACTGGAGAAGTCATGATGTGGCATAATTCAGTGAATTGTACTGTGCTGAGAAGTTGTTTCATTGCAAGCATTGTTTCATATGTTTTTTTTCTCAATACTGTTCTTAGCATTGTATAAATACCAACCTGTGTTGGAGATGCAGTTTAAACATGCATTACAGGGGCTGGGATGAAATGAGTTTTGATGCGCATGATGTTAATGTCGGCTATGGTTTTTGTGCTAAATCTACCTGTAATATGCAGCTCAGTGGAAAAAAAGAGGAAATGGTTCAAATTTTGCTATGTTCTTGTTGAACAACATACTGAGTCTACACTAATCCTTTAGCTATCAGAGCCGTTCATGCCTTCGCCCCTGTGATACACATACAGGAGAAGCACAACCTGTGATACACATACAGGAGAAGCACAACCTGCCCCTATATCCCTTGATGCCTCCATGTGTCACCTCTCATGCGTTTCGTGGTAGCCTCTCACCTGCTGTGAAAATACAGCCCCCTTTGAGCAGCCGGTCACAGCAGCTGCTTCACAATGCAGGGCAATACTTCGACATCACTTAAAATATCAGCCTCCTAAACGTTGTCTCCCTCTGCTATTTTGCCTTTCAACCAAGGAGGCTGCTCTGCCTTGAGGGGAGAAGCCAGGCCCTCTGGTTCTTAATTGCCTCCTTTCCCAAGTGACTTGAGTGATTGTTCTCTAACTCACTGTAATTATCTTTTACTGTAAACTAACCGAAGTACACTCTATTTTTTTTTTGGTGTTACATTCATTAGCAAGCATCCTGCTTTGAATGTTAATGTATTCTGGGAATGTCCAGTCTGTAAGTACAGACTGAAATGCGTAGCAAGTACTTGTGCAATACCCTGAGAAACAAATCCTGATAACTGACTGGAACTGAAAACCATAGTTTTATGTGCAGAGTGGACCAATGGATGGTCAAGCTGCAGGATGGCTTTACATGGGAACATTATTTATGACAAATAGACAATCCCCCATCCTGCTTCCCAAAAAGACTGCCTGATGGGAAAGTTGGCTCTGAGTGTGTGCTTGTAGAGTTCTCACCATGGGTGGTGTGTGTTGCATGATTTCTTCTTTGTGATGAAGAGGGGGGGTCTCACCATACTGCTTTATTATTATTATTATTTTCTTCAGGAAAAGTCTGAAGCTTAGCAGATGATTTTGCATGTTAATGTATTCAGTGCTGTGAACTGCCCATTTTTCAGATGGGTAAATCTGTGCAGCATGCAAAATTGATGCCTATTGCTTTTAGCAGCTAGGGTTCTGATGTCCAGATCCTACTTGAGCTCCTGGATATTTTCTGTTGTATCTCCTATGGAGCACAGCTCCTCTGCCAAGCACAGGTGGAGAGGTTTGTCTAATGCTGTTGATTGCTGGATAATGAAGGAAATGTCTTGGGGCTTGGAGATTATTCCAGTCAAAGTTATGATTTGAATTTTCAAGTGACTCTGTGTGGATGCTTTTATTCTAGTAATAGGGACTCTTTAACCAATGTAGAATAATAGACTTCTGTAGTGGGCAAACCAGATCAGAAAAAGGCTCTCAAAAATGTGTGTGCAGAAAGCTCTTGCTGAAAAACTTGTTCCACAATTGCCTTTTCCGTTAGTTTCCTCTTTTAGACAGGGCCTTTGTCAGAGTGTTTTATCATATATAGTGCTGAGAGGCCACTTGATCTTGGAGCTTGTGCATAGTGCTCAGATCTCAAGACACCAGGAATATCTAATGCAGACACTTGGAGTGTCTGGGTGCTAGAAACAACCCTGATGAGCTCTTATACACCTGGTTTGGCTAACAGAACTACCTGAACTTTTCTGATGTGTAAAAACATCTTATCTGTATGAGACTACTTCTTTTGTTGGACATCTCAATATCTCTAAGCGATTCAGATGAATAGGCAAACAAATATAAAACTCACACCAATGGAAATAATAATTAGGAAACAAAATAGAAATTTGGGTTTCAAACTAAAAGGCTTACTTACTGCTCATGAAAGCATTAAGGTATTTACAGGAAAACCCTAGAATAAAAGGTAGAGAATGTAATATTGCATATTTAGGAGCCTCAATTAATCTCAATTGATTATCAATATCTCAATATGATATTTCCCCCACCTGGAAAACTGAAGGAAAGTAACTTTCATGCTGTTGACTTCTGTCTGTTTACCACTTTAAGTCTGTGTCTTTCTACGGTGCACATGCTTTTCAGAATTACTCTGAACATATATAATGGAGTCCCTGGATACTGCAGACTATGAAAAGGAAGTTTAAAAGCACCTCCAAACAATAGTCTGTGAGCAATCCACCTTATGAGATATTTAGGTCGTTTGCTGAGGTGCAGGCCATACTTTCATACTGTCACCAGTAACTTGAAATATTTATCTACTACAGAAAACTTCCCTGCTAAAGATTGTAAGCCAAACTGTGGCCAACTTTTCCATTCGTTTTTAAATTCTATTTAACATAGCTATAGGAGAGTTCAAAAAATGAACAAATTTCTATTCTTCTGTTTAATTTCTAGAAATAATTACAGAATACAGAAAATGCCTATAAATTGAAGTATATGCCATATGTACAGATACACGCATACGTCTGTATGTTCAAAGGGGAAAAAAATAAAAACGTGGTGTTAAATGTGGAATTATCTAACAATTCAGAGTTCTCAGCAGCAAATTTGCTCCAGAAACAGAGATCCTTTTTATTTTGGTTAAGGAAAAAAAAATCTGTTAAGAATTGGAAGGTTCTTTTTTTTTTTTTTTTCTGAATCCAGGTGCTCAGGGCAAAGTCCTTGAGCAGAAATTAGATGAGGAAGAGGTAGCCAATATAATCACTACATATGTTATTGTATGAGGCCACCTCCATGGATTCAACACACTTGAATCCTCTGTATGATGGATTCATACAGAGAATCCATCTTTGTATGCATGTGGGTAACCAGACCTTTAAAGTAACCTCAGGTTATGGTTTCTGTTTCTGCTGGCTACATTTGTAGACTTTCAGCTTTGAAAAGAAAATGGGACTCCCATGGTTGTCGCTCTTTGCCTCTTTTTGAATGCCCCGTTGAACATACTTGCATCTGGTATAGTATCCCCCAGCTTTTGCCTTACCTTCACATCATTTACGTTCATCCTTGTTCCCTCCTTCCCAACGAAGATGTCATCTATGTCAACCAGAATGTACCTATCCAAGGACAGCGTGAGCTTCTTCCCTGACAGGAAAGAGATGGCATCAATAAAGATCAGCTTGTGTAACCAGAAGGTCAGGTTGTTTCCAAAAAGAACTCTTTGAATCCCATCATGAAGCCCCAAGTCCTGGATGACGGTTGCATACAGAGCAGCCTTTGGCAATGCCATGGGAGGTGGTTGGGAGGTCTGCAGTTCAGTTAAAAGCACAGGTTGGTAGGTGGAATGGTTGAACTGGAAAACTGTCCAGTCTTCGCCAGGCAGTGGGCCTTTCTCAACCCTTGGTGCTTTGGTAATGCGCAGAAGGGGAGACTGAGGGTTTACAACACAGTCTTTGAGGGCTATGTTATTGTAAAGATGTAATGGCAAGCCTTTCAGTTTTGTACTTGGGGAGCTGTTTTCATTGGCTTTATGAAAACCAATTATGCTAACACTGTATTCCACACAGTATTTTTCCAGAAGCTCTCTATTCCATGAGTCCATGGATACATACTTTAAAATATTCTCATATATAACAATTGTGTATTTTCCTCTTCCGTTGTCTGTGAGAGGGGGAATATCCCCCTTGGCAGGCGCGATGACCATGTGGTATTGAAATCTGCTGGACTCAAGGATGGCTATGATATCTTGTCCCAGCTGGGAGTATTGGCTTTCCACGAACAGGAGGACAGTGGGATCAGTTTTAGATGGATCAATTGGCTTAGCTGTTTTCAGCTCAATGGATCTGTATGGTAGGAGCTTGAGATCTTCACAGTCTGCTTCTCCAGTGGTTTCTGCAAGGGCCATCTCCTGCTTGTAGCTGGTGTACAAGTAATAGGCAGAAATGACGATACTTGCTAAGCAGAAAGTAGCCAGAAGAATAACAAGTGTTCTGAAACTTCTGCGGAGCCTCACTATTAGATTCATCTTTTGTGGGACTTTCAACTTCTGTTGGACTTGTTGCTTTTTGGTTTTCTCTTCCTAAAGTGCCATAATAATGAGGAGACACAGAGGTGCTGATTCCCCTCCTGAGATGTTCATGTGACCATTGCAGTACATTTATGAAGCTGTTGGGGAGGTGATGAAGCTGTTGGAGTGGGAAGTCAAAGGATCTGTAAAGCTAAATTGAAAGAGGCTTTCTCAGAATACAGCAGTTGCCAATAATCAATGAGGATGACTCTCAACATTATCTGCAACAAGTTAAAAAAAAAAAAGTAAATAAAATCCATAAAGCAATTAAAAATGAATGTTAATAAACAGTGATGTCAGTAATATGAGTTGAGAGGGAGGTTTATGAACACTTCAAGTGTTGTGTGCTTTCTTAATGTGTTTTATCTTAATACATCAGAGTTCTCCCATTTTCTTAGGGCATAAAATTAATCTAAACTTTTTGAGGACAATGGTATTTTTATTTATGGCCATTTCTTGGCTACAATGCGTTATTGCTATTTTAAGTGGGGTTGACTAATGATTGTAGGACAAAATGAGGACAAAAAATGTTGGTTAAATATTGGTCCAAGTTCTATGTCAAACTCATAATTTTATGGCTAAGTATTTGCAAAGGACTATCAAATTCTGTTTTTGAATGAAACTAATCAAGACAAAGAAAAAGGCACGAGGTATCTTTTCCCCTGTTTCTATTCTGTAACTGGAGTGGCCAGTACTTTACTGTTCATTTAAAGACTGTCAATGAAAAAAAATTAAAACTAAAATTGCACATGGATTTTCCAAGTGAATTAGTAGGTTACTAAAACTGCAGGGTGCAGCAGTGCATGTTCCATTTTCTGTTCTCCCAGGGTTGAATGGAGGATTGTATGGGGCATGAGTAGTGTTGGAGTTGCTGAGCCATGAGGTATTTGTTCTGTGATTGCTGGGTGGGCACATAAACGTGTGCACTGAATTAAGACAACTCTCACTAAAGGATGGGGGCTTTGGGCTGTCCCTGCTATACTGTGTGGCTGAAGTATGTACTGTATGGCTCCAACTGGACTGCCTGGCCATCTCAGAAGCACTTGTGTGCTTCTTGGTAGCCCTACCTAAATTCACAAAGAATTCCCAATGCTAACAATGCACCATGCAACTCAGAGGCAATTAAAACTAACAAAACAAATAGCCCATGCTGCTCTATGGATTTTAAAAAGAATTAACATCTGTCTGAATTATTTATATTGTTTACCTATTGGAAGAATGTGAGACTGTAAACAATGGATGATTTTTGAACTGCTAGGTGGAAGAACCTTTTTCACAGCATACGCTTGTCAGTTGACATCTCCTTGTCTATTAATTTGAATTATTATTTTGAATTTTTATTCCGAAAACTACTCAATCTTTACATGAAAAACTATAAAAAGCTTGCAAGAAAGGTATTGAGGAAATTTGTCTACCAGATATATTTTATGACTCTGGCATAGAGTTCTAAGGAAACTCTTGGTTTTGTCAGTTCAGGATTTAAAAAATACAAGAAAAAGCTTTACTGGTGCTCTAAATGTGTATGTGTGTATATGTATATATATATATATATATACACACACATATTACTTTTCTAGTATTTGAACTATACTGCTTTGGAGAGTTGATCGAGCAGTTGAACAATTGCTGAAATAACTGTGAATTAAGAACTCTGTGAGAGACTTGCTCTTTCTCTGGCTGTTTAAGAAAAAGGAGTTTTTGCTGAGACCAGTTGCAATTTTGCCAGAAATCAGTTTATCTGCTTTACCTTTGTCAGTCAGAAGCTTGCTAGCAGATTCATATCTCTGTACTGTGGGCTACTCTGTCTGTCACACTGCTGTGTCATGTGGCAATTAGTGAAAAAGGTGAGCAAGGTGGGTAGCTTATATGTGGAGAGAAATAAGTGAGGAGAAGCAATAAAAGTGCCCTGCATTTAGTAATACCTTGTGTGAAGGGAAAAACATAAAAGAAATGCAGCAATCACTAAGAAATTGAAACCATTCTGATAATTGTAAGAGAATTGCCGTATTGCCCCCCCTAACCCCAATTCCTTTAGTGCTTCCCTCATCCTGCCGTTCTGTGTATACTTGTCAGGATCTCACTTCTTATTAAACCTCCAATTAAGATTTTATAAAAAGATAAAACCTGATCAAGTGAAGTGTTCTCTGTGAGGCTATGCTTCAGTTTCAGTGACGTTGATGAGTCACTCAGCCTGACTCTGAGGGTTTATCGGATCAGGAGAACTGCTCTCTGTGCGAAGGACAGCCTTGCTGGGCGTGTAATCTCCCCACAAAACAGCTAATTGCAGCAAGCTTTGGTTTTCTTAGCATGCGAGATGTGGGTATTTTGAAACAATAATTAACCCCTCCCTGTCCCCGGACTTTGCATCTTCTCCTTTCATCACTAGAGGGCAATATCTTCTTGGTTTTTGCCTGACAGCACCTGCTCTCACCTCAACTCACAGAGCAAACAGCCCTGTGCTCATACCCTTTCCAGAAGGGTCTCAGAAATCATCGAGGCACGTAAAACACTTTAATTAAGACACTTATGTTCTTATGTTTAATAAATATAGTAAAAATAAACAGGATTTTTGTTCTAAGAAATCTGCTGCTAATTTGCATTGAATACTTACCAAATGTCTCAGTCAACAGCTGTAGCACAAGAGGAATTGCATGTGAGGAGACCTAAAATTGCACATTTATCCTCACTGTTCTGTCCTACTGGATATCTTATGTGCTAGCATTTCAAGCTGTCACTTGAACCAGTTCTTCACTATTACTATTGCTTTTATTGCTAAAATATGAAAAGCCCCTGACTTTATACTAGACAAATGTTTATCCTACATTAGTTAATACAAATATTGCTAAAAATATCTCCTACTTATCTAGAATAGCTTATAGTACCTAGTTATATAGATGAGTGCATCTGTTCAATGTGGATGTTATAGCAAGAACAAGTATTCACAATTATCTAGGTGTGTAATATTAAGATTGATAAGAAATTTGAACTTGCACATGGGAACCTGGAATAGGAGCAGATCCCCTTTTAAATTGTGCATTGTGTTTGAACTGCTCAGTTGAAGTGATTATGTTGTTCAGTAAAAAAAAAAAAAGTGTGAAATAATTAAAGTTTATGAAAATAAATCAGCTATATTAGCCATTAGTGGGACATTTTCCAAGGCATAACTGGAAGTTAAGTGCTGTTTGTGCCTTTGAAACTCTCCCCCAGCTTCAACAGCTTTATATTCACTCAAATTCAAACTTTAGAGTATTTTTGTGCTATATTAATTTGAAAACATGAAAATAGGCCATCTTTCATAATTATCATTGCTAATGTAGTTTCATTCTAGAAACCGGTGTTTGAGGTCACTGGTCAGAACTCGCTGACTCTCTAGGGGCAAAGTCTAGAGCTGGATACACTTGATCAAGGAATTCAGGTTACAATCATCCAGACTTGGTCCTGTAGTGGATTTCTGGCTTGTGTTTAGCAGACATCCTAGACATTTCTGTTGTACAGAAATGGTACAATTCTGTTGTGATGTCGTAGACATCTGCAGGAAGTGTAACTTTTTTTTAAAATTAAGGCAGCCAAAGGAAAACAGAAGTGTTTTTTTTTTTTTTTAAATATCTGCCTCTTTTCTAAATAATACTTGCTGCTTCCTCATACAAATGCATTTTATTAAAGCGTATTGATACCAAAGATGATTGGGAGATCAGGGCTCAACAGCTGAAAAATGGTAGCACTGTAGTGAAAATAAACAACCTCTTATTAACAACATATGCAAGCACTGCATCAGGAATTAAAGCTGACTTTCTCATGGCCCAGTTTCTGAATATGGACCTTCTCAAAGTGCACTGTGACTTTTAATAAGCGTTTTGAGCAAACTGGGTTCAACTAGTTGATAAGGAAACACAGACATTGCGGAATGCAGCTACATACTGCAAAGGCAGTTAGCTATTAATTGCTAATGAGGGATCACTGTAATAATGAAGTTATTGCTTGGATGAATAAAAACAATTTGATTAAGAATGAGAGTTGCTGCCTTGCATTATCAGGAGAAATATGTGATACGTGAGTGGCCTGGGGCAGGCATGAGGACAGCAGCAGGTATCTGATGCTTGGGCTGCCAGCCTGGGCAAAGGGCAGGGAGAGCACTGCCTCACAGGGCTATCAGCTTGTATCCTGTCCTTGTAGCTAGGCTAAGGATCTAGTTGGCTTATGAAAAGTGGAAATCTTGGTTAACACCAAATAAATGGATGTTTTTATCCATGCTGTTGATCGACTGAATAGGCTTCACATCTGTAACAGGTTAAAAGTGTGTTCCTGACTACAGGCCTATGTAGAAGAGCAGTGCAATCACTGCAATATGGTAATTTCTGGCTGCCACTCTGTGCCAGTGCAATGCTGCATGCAATGCTCTGTGGGTAACTCATCTGGAAACAGGCTGGGATCTCCTCTCATCGTATTCCAGTATAAATCAGAACTCATTATGTCTTTATTTTCTCTATATAAAACTTCCCTTTAGGCTAAAAAATTAATGTAAACTTTCTTCCTTTCCTTCCTTTCCAAGCTTATACGACTCTTGCCATTTGTTAGCAGTCTAATGATCCATGATACTGACTTGCTACTCCTTACTGCTCATTCAACACAGAAACAAGAAAACAGATTTGAATGAAAAATGACTCTTGTTGACCATTAGCAAAATGTAAGGTTTCTGTTCACTGTGGAGAGAGAATAGACTTTTTTCTTGGATTTCCAAGAGACTTCTTGCTAAGTTCATGAAACTTGGGTTCTTGAAAGATAATTTTTCAAGCTTAATCAAGTTACAACATGTTTTGTGTGACCTCTTAGCTCCCATATGCATTGATGCTGGCTGCTCTTGGCTTATCTGGCTTATCTTGTCTTTATAAAATGTTTTCACCTGAAGTAGGGACAGCTCAGCTGGAAAAAGGTGCTGCAGTTCTGACTTTGTTCTAACTTTGATAACCTCAGAATGGAGAGGTCTCCCTACCTAACACCTTCATCTCTTTTGTTTGGTTTCAATTCAAAATAATCTGTAATGTTTTTTGTTTGTTTGTATGATTTTTTTTTTTTTCTCCTGTATTTTCAGAAGCATTTGATCAGTCTATTAAGTCTCTCAAGGTCTCAGGGGTACCTCAGGATGTTTCTGGGCCCAGGCTCCCTCAGGCTGCATGTGCTGTGTGTGTGTAGACCTCTGGTGGCTGGTCTGCTGAGAGGGCCA